CCATTGAAGTTTTATACAGTTCATCTCTTTCACCTCTAATGACTGGAATCATTGTCCTATTTTTTTTTTTTTTTTTTTTTTTAAACAATTAGCCAAGATCTTACCCAGCCTTTCACAGTTATCCCAGTATCTCTGTTGTAAACATCAACACAAATTCTGTCTGCTGTGATATTATAGTAGTTAATTCATATTTCTTTTCCTATATTTCTCTGTACAAAACTGTAAATGGGCATCTATCAGTGCCCATAAATGTTTCAATTCATCTTTCAAATTATTTTCCCTTTTATTTTTAATCTTAGTTTTGTGCGACAGATAAGTAATGATTCTACCTTGAATGTATGTTTTATATGCTTCCCATTCAAAGATTCGAGCACTTGATGTTTCTGAATTCAAATCAAAATATTGTAAGGTCTCTACTTGCATTTGTTGTACAAATTCTTTATTATTCAATAGGAAAACATTAAGATACCAATTTCTCGATACCGTAACCAGTTTCTGAAACACACATTTTGAGATGGTTGCACAGTGATCAGATACATAACAAACATCAATGTTACATTCTTGAATGTGATGATACAAAGTTGACGATACTAAGAAATAATCAAGCCTAAAAAAATTCTGATGCACATTTGTATAAAATGTAGATTCTCTTGTAGCTGGATACATCAAACGCCAAGGGCCTACTAAATTCAATTCTTTCATATAAGTCTTAATTGTTTCCTTCACTTATGATTGTTTTTTCCATGCTGGTATATTTTTACCAAACTCAAGATCCAATATTTCATTAAGACCTCCTCCTATCATCAGTTTATCATAAATATACTTATTCAAGTTTTGAAAACATTTATAAAACATAGTAGGAGAATCTAAATTTGGTCCATAAACATTAACCATAGCTACTGCAGTCTCTGCTATTTTGGCATACAAAATTAAATAATGCCCATTTACATCAGTGATAACTTGTACATCAACTGGGAATCCTTTCCAAACTAGAATGGCCACACCTTTAGCTTTCGTCAAAGAATCTGTGAGGTAAACCTGTCCCACCCAATCTTTCATTAATAGAGATTTTTCCTGTTCCATTAGATAAGTCTCTTATAAATAAGCAATATCTGCCCTTAACAATTTCAAATATGCTGAGATTATATTTTGTTTCTTGGATCCTCATAATCTTTTTACATTTAAACTAACTAACTTAATCCATAAATTTTAATTTGGCCCACTTATCAATATTCTCCCAATACCAATTCATTTTATGACCTGTACCATTTAACATATATCTAATAATAAACTTTTCTATCTTTAAATATTTAACATATTT